CGTTCTAGTTGGCCAAAAACAGTGAAACCAATCTCATTTCCACTAAAACCGTGAAAGTCAGGAACATCGGAAGCTCGGTTGTGGCTCGCCAGCTCGGCACTCGCGGGCCGAAGATTCCAAAACGCCGAGCCGCTCATCGAGCCAAGCGGACCGCAGGGCCAAAGGTTTGGCGGCGATCGCCGAACCGCAGGCCCTACCTGCGGCAGAGAACCAAAGTGTTTGCGGCAGAATCAAATCAACTAGGTCCTCCAGAGAGGTTCGAATAAGTTGGTACCCGATGTTTTTTGCTTTCCCGCCCCCTTATTTTTTTTCTCGGTAGTCTATTTTAGTATGAGAACTCTCCCAACCAAAAATGGGGCGAGAAAGGGCACTACTGGGGGGGGGGGGGGAACGAAGTCAAAGAGTCGCACCCTTTGTTGCATTGGCTTGGGTGTCTCGCTTTTTAGGGGAGCCCCTAAACTGACCTGCTTGGAGGTGTCGATTTTTAGGGGAGCCTCTAAAATGGCACCGCATGCGTCCTTCTTCTTTGTTTCGCATACCCATGGTTTGTACACCAAGCGGCGAGTGGGAGCCAAACCATGGGGGGACCCTTTAAGCCAAGCTGAAGTAATGTTGACCCAGGATTAATAAACCCGTCCCATTACTAGGGGGGTGTTCCCTCCAAAAGTGGTCTGAATCCCCACTAAAAGGGGGCACCCCCCTATTAATCAACCAGGGGTTTGTTAATCCGGGGTTAACATTATCATGATTAGAGTAAGGCCCAGTTGTAGAATGTATATCTTGTTTGCTTCACTTTGAGTCACTGGTAAAATGCAAAATGCTAAGTCTACCCCACGCATGTAATTGCGGGGGGTTCGCAAAAAGGCCGACCCCCGTGTTGGATGGTCTTAAGGAGAAAAACTGAAGGCACTAAACAAGCAGTTTTAGGGGCCGCATATTTTGCTTAGAAACATGAAAATACGGAGACCCCCACAAACACAAACTGGGTGGAGGTTCCTTTTGGTTCCCTTAAACCAACCCAAGACAGGGAATCCTCCAAACAACGGCACACCCACACATTTAAATTGTACGAAAGGCCAGTTCATGTGTCCAACCTAAAACCAGATCCAATGCTTGTTCACAATCACCTTTTCTGTGATACCAACAAGGAATTCCCGTCCCGATGACTACTTTGTCTTTAAGGATTCCCTTCGTTAATAATCCTCACAAAAAAAACGACCCAATACCACGTCAAGCGTGGAAGGCAAAGTCAGGTGTCCCGACTGGAGTATGGCCAACCGCTCAAAAGCACGTGGGTCAAAAATAGGTAAAATGGAACCCTGGTATGTGGAGCCAAGGACTAAAATCTGCGGTCCGATTCCTGGTGGTTTAATTTTGACCCATTTCCACACATTGCCACTGTCGAGTCCTGCTTCTGACTTCCACTTCACAATGCTTGGCAAGCCGTGGATTTTTTCCGGGCCACAGCTCATCAGCTTTTGGAACCGTGTTTCCCCGACCCAAACGAGCCCGTGACTTTTTTTTTCAAGCAGGTGCGACCCCTCAATAAAGAACAGGGCTCGCAACTGCCCGTCTCCAGCCTGGCACCTTGCCAACATGGTCTCCCCAAAAGAAACCAAATGGCCATTCCAGGGGTTGATTCCAATCCTGCTTTTCAGCCGTCGTTCTTTCAAAAACCAGCCATTTCCCCGGGGTTTTGGTGGTTTTCTAGACCAAGGATCCCTGAAAAGAATGGGGAAGCTATTTTAGAGCCATAAATTTTCATAAGGAGCCACCTCCAAAGTGGTTGGTGGACATAAATCCCCACCTAATGATGTTCACCACAGGGGCCCTTATTAAAATTCACACCCAAAACAAGATTGGTTCAAACCATAGTTTTCCTCAAAACACCGTTTGTGTGCTTCACAATTTTGTTGTCACGAAGGGATGCATTTTGCCCAATATCAAAAAGGGCACCCCTCATTTTGTCAAACTCCCCACCCCCCCCCCCCAAAGAAAACACACGCAACAAACAAACGCATGAAAAAGAGCACACCTGGGGTTTAGAAGGTCTGTACAAATAGAACCCACATCCAATGACCCACCCCAGAGTGTGCTCTACGTACATTGGATCATGCGAGATCCTTGCGTTTGCAGTTGGAGCCACACAGGCCAAACTTCAAGCTTGACCAAACTGCAGCCTTGCCCTAATGTATGAAGCTAACACGTTACATACATTACTCTCCTATGACCATGACCTAATGTGCTTCTAAAGTTCGCTACAACCCCGCAACTACTTGGTCCCCGACTCGTAAAATGTACTGCATTTTGAGACTGCAAGGCAAGCTTTGGGTTGCCCGACCAAATCAGAGAAACGAGAAGGCCAAAACGTCGGCTTTGGGCAAGTTAAAACATAGTATATTCAACTGACTGCTGTGCGTTTGGCAGAATGGAACTGGGCTTCGGTATTTTACTGGGCGCGTCTGTACCAATCTCGTTTGCCTTAGAATACGGGCATTTCGGTTTCCTTCAAGGTCTCCTTTTCAAACAGCCGCAAAACGGTACAGGGCAACTGACCGTGACTCATACGAAGTAACACCCGACGGGTACCCAAAGCCCGGGAAACATGAAATCACTCAGAAGTTCAGAAGCGAGTTCACGAACCTTCCAAAACACCCAGCTCTTTGCACTCAGTCTTGCCTACCCGAAGCCAAATCCAGCAGCTAAGGCATTTGGCTGTGATATTTGTAGGGACCCTCAAGAAAGAATCCGACCCATTGCTTCTATCTGGGCTCCGGACCTCATCGGCACCGAGACCCGTCCGAGCCGACTCGACGTCTAAACGGCAGAGATGGGCCGGAGATGCGGAGATGCGAGACATGAGCGCGCGTCGGAATGCGTCACAACACTCTATAGAAGTGAGTGGATTGGGCAAAACATCATCTAGACTTGTTTGTCCACCACTCAAACGGTCCAAGTTTTACTCAAAGCAAAGCAGTATAAAGTCCAGGAGATAATTTGAATGACCCCTAACAAGGCATCCGTAGCTCCTTTGGAGTCAACCCCATGAGTTTCAAAACTATAACACAGTGGAGCTGTGTAAGTCCGAAATGCACGTTTGACATTCCCAACAGGTTCAAAACTCGCACATCGCTCCAATAGGATGTTCAAGGTTCAAAGTTCAATGGGCTCAATCTGTGAAAACAATCCTGGTTCTGCCCCAGAGTTCCTTTTTTTGCTTGGGGGTTTTCGCTTCGGCTGTTTGACACCAAGGGACAAACAAACATTCACAAGTGACCTCTCTTGACCCGGGATGAATCAACCTGGCAACGCGGTGTTTCTATGAGTGAAGGATTCTCTCTAAAAGGGGGCGCAACCTTATTAATTAATCATCAACTGCATGGGCGCCTTTTAATCCTGGGTCAACACTGTTAGAGAACCTACATCTTGGGCGAGGCGGGGTCCTCTTTGGCCAGCAGAAAGGCTTGTCACTTAACATCCCTGGGAAATTGAACTCACGTTTGACTGGATGGCCCCTTTGAAAGCAGCAAGGGGCTAAAGCATTGCAAACATTGCTGTGATCTGAGGCGACGTCTCCGTTTTCACGCATACAACCCCATTCTCATTTTGTCAGACGCTTATCTGGCTGGTGCTCAGAATGAGGGAATGAGGGAATGAGCCCAAAAAACACCATCTCTGGTGGATTCCTTTAAGGGCACCCCCAGGTTCATTCCAGTTCTCATTCCTATCGCACCGATCGCAAGTTACTTTCTTTGTCTCCCGCTTCAGAAAACGTCGGGTTCCTTCCCTTCGCACCGTTGGGTCCCCTGCGGCGGCATGGGGAAAGCCTGCGGGGGCCTGTGGGCTGTGTCTGGATGCGCGTCCCCTTGGTTGGCGCCATGGAAATATAAACAAGCAAAGCAAACCAGCCGAGTTGCCCCTTACAAACCTGGAAAGAACTGGTGATCTCACCTGAAAAGTCAAAAGAGTGAGTGTTTTCGAATTTGTCCAGAAAGACTCGCTCAGGAGCCTTGAGGCTGGAGAAGCTCAACACAAAGGACCTCCGGAAAAGGTCTTGGAGCTGACTTGGCCTTTCTTTGGTTCTGCAAATACCTACTTCACCTACTTGTCTTCAGTCATGTCTCGCAAGGCCATTCAGCATCCTAGATTGGAGCAGCCCGCATGTTCCAATGCACAATTGCCAATCTGGGTCTGCAAACATAAGGATTTGCAGCACACCCGAACAAGTGGTTTTCTTGTTCTTTTAAAGCATCCTGAAAAGGGTCCCTCAAAAATACAGACCCATATCGCACAACACCCACCAATACTGAACTAGGTGGCAATACCAAACCAACTATTTGTCCCGCTGACCCCAACAGTCGAATTGGGGAGGTACCTCCAAAACAAGTCCGTTGATTGTAAAATTCATGTCTGAACTCAAACATCAATAGCAGATTGCAATTACAGCATGTGCTTTCAAAGCCTGACAATCAATTGAACAATGCAATGCTGGCAATATCATGAAATAAATCCTCTGGGTATGACTTGACACAGGAAACTCTGTTGTGAATTTAGGTTGAGACTCGTCTTCACCAAGTGCTCAATGTTGCAAATCAGGGGAAGTGCCCAGATACTCGCCCCAACCTCTATCAATAGGCGTCTTCTCCAAGGTCCCTAGGATGCTCCAGTTGCATATAGAAGCCTTGCGAAGCAGCTGGCTTGGTTTGTAATTTGGCCCAACGTATCCGAACCCTAGATGTTACTCGGTTGCTTTCTGCTCCCCTGCTAAAAGTTTAACTGTTAGTGGTTTAGTGGAAAACCCATTAGTTGGAAGAAAGTTAAAGTTCTAACAGCCAAGCAAAATGCACCAAAGGTTAGTAGGGTCCGCATTTCTTGTTACACATGTAGAGGAGTTGGATCTACTCAAACATTGCGGGATTGAGAATGCACTAAAGTTTAAACTGCCTCCAGGATTGTTGCCCGGCAAAGGGTGACCAGGTACCCAAGCCTGCTTTCCCTCTTTTCCTCCCTCTTTTTCGGCCCAACATCGGCGATGGCAGGCGGAAATCGGCGCTTCGAGGTCACGCGGTCCTAAGTGGCACCAGCCCAAAGCCGATTGGCTTCCTTGTGAATTGAAGAAAACACATATGAAAATGATGGGTCGTTTGGTCGTTTGGCAGCCAAATGTTGCGAAAGGCTCAACGAAAGTATGGGCCTGTAGTTGGGGAGACCCTCGCGACAGGCACTTGTGGCACGCAGTTCTGCCGTTCACAGACTGACTTCAGGTCAAAGGGAAGCGGCCGGGTGGTGCAGCGATAGCATAACGTGGTAGCTGGTCCGGCTGAATTCAAAGTGCTGCCTCATTGCCATTTTTTGCGGATGTCTTCTTTTGAGGGTATGGGGTGGAAGGAAAGGAACGCGGGAAGGAAGCCACCACTTTGGGTTGGTTTCCTTGTCTTGACATATGCCCATTTATCCAGGACGAAACTGGCTGTTAAGCCGGGCGTGCCCCTCGCTAGGGGCCTGGGACACCTACATCAGCAATCGCAGCAACAGCAGCAACAATAGCGGCGCGGGCGGAGTGGTTTTCCCTCGTTTTTCCAGGATCCAAGCCTGAAAGAATTCCAGTTGCGCCAGTCGCCGTGCGAATTATTCAGAATACTTATTGAGATTTCGAAATGATTCAGAATTTGCACCTTTGGGTGACAACTTGGCACAACCGGAAAACACGCAAAACATCCGCAAAACACTTGCAAAAGAAGCAAACTCCCGTTTATGTCTTGGAAATAATGGCCAAATTCATTCATCATATCCTCTTCCCTCCCTTTCACCTCTGTATCTAGGATGGAGAGCAAGATATGAGAGCCACCAGTCCTTTTCTGGAATGGCTCTTGTTCCCTTTCCTTTTCATTTACATTCTATTTCTCTATCCTGTGGACATGCCTTTCCTAACTTTATTGGCATGTCAATAGGAATAGGAAAGATTCATGTCATCTCTTGTCCTTTCCTTCCTGCGTCCTCAAGGTCTAACGGTAAGTCCTAGAGAATGAGATAGGTTTTGGCGAGCAATGCCAGATTCAGAGACTTCCGGAGCATCTTCAGTAAAATCAATGGAATACCCACTTGAGTGCACAGAGTTGCATGATTGATGGGATAGTGCAAGAGTTGTATAATTGTGGACCCAAGCAGTGCAAAAACAAAACAAGACTTGTTTCCTATTTTTTCCCCCAAGAACCACTGCCAATTGTTGATTTTCACTCCTGCATTTTGCAAGCCACTGCTGCCTTTTGATTGATGCAATTGAAACACCTGAAGTTTTCAAAGGGTCTCCTGGAAACAACCCGGAGAACGAGAAAAAATAGAGAAGTCACCCGGAGAGGGATGACCCATACAGTTTGTTGGTGTTTACAAGGAAGACATCTCAGAAACTAGTTAGATTCTGAACGGTGTGATTTCGGGATTTCGATTGCATCCACAGTACTTTTTGAGCATGCGGACTGAAAGGAATCTTGGTGATCTTGGCGGTACGCGGTATGTTGGAGGTTCCAAGTTGGACCGTGCGGTGGGCGGGCGGTTTCACAGCCTTCTTCAGCGGCGTGGAGGTGCAAGCCCATCAATTAGGGCCGCCAGGGGAAGCCTCATGTTGCCCTTTTCGTAGGTGGCAGGTTCGACGTTGAAACTTAGCCATATGTTGCAGAGGCCGGGATTTGTCAACTCCCATTCCATGTTGCCTGTTTTTGTTGCCTGTTCACCCATCAGAACGCCTGGCCTGTCCCAGCTCACAGTGGCTCGCCCCAATAGAGGTTGCTTTCGAGGCGTGTTTTCTTCTCTTTCTTTTTTTAATCAGCATGTTTTGTGGGCTCTTTGTGTGTTTGTTCTGGTCGCTTAGCTGCACAGTCTCTGACAGAGCTCGCTTTGTGTTGGTACGATACTGCTCTGCACCTGCATTCTGCGGCTTGACCTCCTTATAACCCTCAAACATTGCCCCAAAAGGAAACTCACTTTAGCTTGGCCCCAAAGGCCCAAAGGCCCAAAGGTGTGCAAAACTGCCAAAAGGAGAAACATGGGGAACCCTTGCAGTGTCAAGCGATCAGACCCATCGGGATCGGCTCGACAAGATGCGGCAGACTTTGACAGGAACCCTCAGCAACCGTGCGGGAAAAGCCGCTCGAACAAAGCAAGAAAACAGTAACACATTGGAATGGGGTTGTGGGGCCCAGTGCTTCCAGTTCCCAAAGTAGCTCATGGGAGGTGCTTTGTGATTTGGTGGACAGACCTACATGGTGGGACCTATGTCCAACAACCACAAATTAATGGTTGGATTACTGTATTGTCCACTAACCAATTTCGAGGTGTTTCCAACTAACCCTGAAGAATAACGTTTGTTTGAAATATGCCGTATGTTATACAGTTGAAGCCTAGCAGGCAGTCCCCTTGCGAAAAATCGGTGCCGAAAGCACCCCAAATGCATTGAACCTATGTACGGAAGATGCCCTGACAAGTAAACCAACCAAACACAAATACGGCAAATGAGAGGGTTTCCTTGTTCCCTTACTTGCAATATTGAGTTGGCATTTACCTCATGATGAAAAAACAAAATATGAGTGATCCTTTAGCCCCGAAGATGGGCCGCGCAGCGCGCGCCAAAACGAAAAGCCTAGCGGCTTGATTGCGCCGTAGCTGTTGCAGAACTCTGACGGCTTTTCCTCCTGGAAGTGGTGGTCGAAGAGCAATCCCACCTGGAAACCGCAAAGCGCTGGGTGAAATTTGGTGACCGCTCCCCACATGTGGCTGCAAAACCACTGACTTGCAGAGGAAACTTCTTTTGGAAAACCCGTTTTGGGCGTCCATGTGTGCTTGTTCGGTAGTAAGCATCTTTGAACAATCATTGTTTGGACAAGCTTCGTTTGATGCCACTTTGATGGGGGCCAGCAACCGGTTGTGTGGGATACATATTGTTATATAGTTGTATAGACCCACAGCACTCATGGTTCAGGGTCGCTGCATCGGCACAAGAGCCGTCGCTGCAACGGTACAAGACGCAATACCGTAAGTGTGAGGTGCTGGGATTTGCCAACCGCACAGCTCCCTGGCCCACAAGCCGTGGCAGTGCCAATGGAGACTTCGTCATTGCGTGACGTCTTCCGCCATCCGCTGGGGGCGATTACGCTCCGTGCTAGTGGGATTTGTGCACTCGTCCAGACCATGGCGCGCACACCGTGGCCGTGCCAATGAGGAGAGCGTGGTTGTGGTGTGACATTTGCTTCGCTACCTGTGCCGGGGGTGGAATTCCAAGTCGACTCGCGAACAGCCCACACATGTAGTCGCTCATCAGCCGCACGCCGAGGGCTATGGGGGTTGGGGGGGCAGGGGGGCACACATCGTAATGTTGACCCCATATTAATAAACCCCTGTGTATTTATATGGCGGGTGTCCCTGGGTTTAGTGGGGAATCATCACTTTTGGAGGGGTCCCCACCCCCCTATTAACAATTTGGGTTGAATATTCATACGGGGTCAACAATAGACATGCATAGCCACGCAACGGCCGGCACCTTGCGAAGCTACCTACTCAGCTACCTCGCACCACGCGATCACATTGAGTCTCTGTCGCTTTCTTTCCACACTCATGCAGACGCACTGCGGCCTACGGGTATGCCATACGCACAATATGATCTTTGCCTCTATACGATATATACGTAATTAGTTAGCTACTTATTCATTCAGTTATTCATTTATCTATGTATTCACCTCCTGGTGCCCGCATTTCTCTGTATTCTAGCAATCTTTATCGGGATTGTCAAACAAATGACAAAAAAAGGGGCACTCAGAGGAGTATAGCCAGAATTCTAAATATCGCGTTTCAGATGTGTAAATATCGGTATTTAGACCTCGGATCCAAGATCCAAGATTCGTGCGGAACTCTTGTAAGCAATATTGGATCCATAGGTGATACTCCTGAAATCAAAATACCGGTATTTACATTTTCTAGAAGCTGGTATTTGGATCCATGAATGACCCCACTTGCAGGCATGTAGACCCTGGATCCAAGACTTGGGGGATTTACATGCAGTATTTAGAAACTGAATGCAGTATTCAGAATTTGGTGGGGCACTCATGGATCCAAGATTGGTCTCCATAGGTCTTCCAGCAATCTTGGATCTAGGATCTCAACACAAGTCTTTAGAAAGTTAAATACTTGTTTTTTGCGATGCGCAAAGCCACCGTATGAAAAACACGGCAACAAGACAGCAGCACGCAACATTGCATAAAGTTAAATACTGTTATTTAGAAATCAAAGTACCGGCAATAATTCACGGGGGGACATGGACCCAAGATTTCCCCCAAGATTTCCCCTCAGCAACCTGGGATGGTGGATGGATCTAAGTACGGCATTCAGAAATCCAAATACCAGGTCATAGATTTCAGGAGTGCCCATGGATCGAAGATTGCCTTGGATGGGACTAAATACCGGAATTGTGGTATCTAAATGGCGTTATATAGAACCTATGTCAGTATTTATATGTAAATGCATGGTGGATCTAAATACTGTATTGGGAAGTTCAGATTTGCTGTCATAATCTCAGGGGGCAACTTGACAACAAAAAACACACAACCACCTCAATGTTGAATATCCTCCGTTTTCTGGAGTCAAGATTCTGGACAAAGCTTTCCCGAGCAATTGTGATTCTTGAGTCTTGCTTTTCCTTTTGTTCCAGGGATACCCACATTTCCTTGGTTGGTCCCGTTTCTGTAATTTCCCGGTGGTCTGGCATCTCTGGCTTGTTTTATCTTTAGTTTTGTAATGGAACTGCTTGTCGTCGAAACACCAGGGTAAAATGGCTGCATACACCATAGTCCTAAATTGACTCTACGGCCTTTCTTCTGGAGTCAAGATTTGGAGAAAGCTTTCCTGCGCAATTGCGAATCTTGAGTCCTGAAAATATGCTTGTCTTTTGTGAAAGAGGTCCCCAATGTTTCCGCTTTGCTCCGAGAAACTTGCTCAGAGAACTTGCGCAGAGAAACTTGCGCAAAGTTGTGGCCTTCCATGTTGAGAAACCTGGTTGTCCACGGCCACGGAAAATACTTTGTTCCGGAAACTAAAATGATAACGCAGGTTACTTTGGTATAGTGAGGTATATTTCCCGCCATGGCCAAGATGGTTGGCACTACCAACCCAAAGGAAGACAGCGTAAGTGTGAGTATAAATATACATATATATATATATTATATTCATATATGCTACCCGCCCCACCCCCAACCACGGTGCCCCGTTTTGCTTGATTCTAGCACGCAGACTGCAGAGTGTTGAGTACTTGCAGCAGATGCCACCGATTTGCGCTGTTTGAGCAGACAGGCTGTAGTGTTTAAACTATTTGTGCAGCAGACTTAAGCAGTCATACGCGTTTCATCTAGTTTTGGACACAGAGCAATTCCATTGCACAAATGTGTGCACAAATGTGCTTCTCGTTACTTTTGTGCAAGGAGCACCTAATTTCCCTGGTGTGGGTCCAACTTCTATTAAAAAAAGTCCGGAGGCGTCTGGCATGTCATGTTGATCACCTGCTCTCCGCTTCCAACTCCGAAACTTCCGCCTGCTCCAAGGGCACGCCGGCGGTCTCCGGCAGCCACCAGCCGAGGAGGAGCGCCAAAAGGCAGAAGAAGCCGAAGATGAAGAAGGTATCGAAGCCGATCTTCGCCCTGAGGCGCTCGCTGAACTCGGTTGCGAAATCTGCTCCCCTGCAAAAGAAGTCTAACTGTTAGTGGTTTTGATGGAAAACCCAAGAGTTGGCAAAAAGAGTGATGAAAATTGCAACTAGGAATCCGGGACTCAGGCAGCAGCAGATGGATTTGGACAAGGGATCCTATCTGTCCACAAATGCGTGTGTGCAACAAAGCCATGGTGAAGCCAGTCTTCGCCGTTTTTGCAGCAGCAGGCGCCATCGTGTTTGTGGATTTGGGGTGCCTAATCTTTGGAGACTCTTGAATTGGGTCAGTGTGTATGTGTAGGTGTCCAAATAAGGGACCCAACAAATGGGTGGTTTTCTTTGGGCGCCCCTTCCACTGACACCAAGAAGTCGATCTTCGCCCTGTGTCGCAAAAGAACCAACTCTTTCACTCTTTCCACTCATGGAGGGGAGGTGTTCCTTCAACAACGAAACAACGGTGCCTCTTGTTCCTGCCGCTAGAGGTCGTTAGTAAGTCAAGTCCTCTAAGTGGGATTGGGTCCACGGCACTTACTGAGCCGCGTGGTCCCCCTGACTGATTTGTGGACTTATGAGCTCAGATCGGAAAGGAGTCAAACAAACAAATTGAGGGGTTGCACAACGGGCATCGATCCCCTGCAGTTGCAGCATTTGGGCTAGGTTCCAACCAAACGCTGACAAGTCCAACATATGCTGCCTGCGCAGCAAAAGACAAAGATTGGATTCGACATGGCTTTCTGGGAATTAAAAAATATTTGGGGGTTGATTGATCAATATTCCTCGCCAGCAAATGACCCCGGATAACTTTTCCCATTTGCTGGGAAGGTCATCTTTTTTGGTTGCTTTCCTCATCCCCACTTGTGGAAAGAATGTGTCTCCTCCCTTGTCCAGAAAGAACACAGAACACCAATAAAACTCTTGTCCGTTTAGAGAGACCTCAACGTCATTCCCCGAAAATGTGAAGGGGCTCATGTTAGCCCCCGAAAAAGTGGGATATTTGTCGTGTCTTTGGTGTGTTTCCCTAAGACAAAGCACCGCAAAACGGCTTGCAGCTTCGCGTCCAAGGCCTTTGGGGGACGCGTACTGTACGGGCTAGGGACCATGTCCCATCACCCACGGCCTTCCTTTGAAGCTCCACATTAGTATTCCTCCATTTGGAGAAGTCCCCTGAACAAAAAAAACATGTATTTCCAGCAGTGATAGATTCCCTTTAGAACCAACAGGGGCAAATGAACACATATCCGCCGACCCCATTCTCCAAAGGGGAGGCGCATAGGAAGGGTTTGTCTTCATCTTTGTCTTAGTGATGATTATCACCACCACTGATGTTGGGTGATGGTTCGCAGCATCTGGATCATCATCATTATTCTGTTTCGACATGCAGGGGATGAAAGTGACGATTATCATCTTGACTGCTGGCGATGCTGCGGATGCATAGTGATGATTATCAGCATCACTGATGTTGGGTGATGATTTGCATCATCCGGATCATCATCATTACTGTGGCGCTCTTCTTTTTCATATACGTAAGTGTGCCGGTAGACCCGGCTGGAAATGCAGAGGATGCGTAGTCATGATTGTCATGATAACTGCTGGTGATGCCGGGGGTACATCGTTCATCATAATCATTATCACCATCTGATTGCATCCCGAGGTGTTCCTAACGGCTTACTTCTCGCGAAGACGAAGCGATGACACAAAGTGCACGCTTTGCATGCACAGCAATGCAACGAAGTCTTGCGAACAAAAAAGTGCCCCCCCCCCCCAACATGGTTTTCCTGCCCAAGTTTCCACACACTCAGGGCACTTCTTGTAAAATTCAACAAGGTGCGCATTATCATGCGAATTGATCCTGCAGTAGCTTGTTTGAGATGCAGGGAATGCGTCATCACTTTTTAATAACAACTGCTGGTGATGCTAAACGTGCAAAGTAATAATTATCATCATAACTGCTGGCGATAATGCAAATGCATAGTAATAATTATCAGCATCCCTAATGTTGGGTAAAAAGTTGCATCATCAAACACATCGTCATTATCGTGCTGCTCTTTTTCATATATGCTCTAAGTGTGCCGTTAAACCCGACCAAAAAGGCGTAGTCATAACTGTCATAACAACGTCCCCTGTCAGCAAGGGGCCGGCGGATAAGGGGCGGCAGGCCCAGAAAATTATTGAGCAAATGAAAGAATTGGATTGGAAATGCCATCATCACTATGCATCCCCATGGAAAGAGTTGGAGTTCATTGGAAATGCCATCGGGGCACAGCAGCATCGGCGTAAACTGCGCGATCAGGAAGTTGCCGATCCAATTGGTCCTACGGCCGTCGGATTCTCGGGGCCCGTAGGTCGTCATTAAAACGTCAAAGACCTTGGGTGCGTCTGATTTTAGATGTACGATTGTGGCTTTAAAGGGAAGCCAGAAGGACAATCACAACTTTTGGGGGTTCCCTAAAATCTCCAAGTCTAAGTACCTAGCGAGGTACTTTGACCTGTTTTGATACCCCAACACCATCAAACAACCATCCTCAAACTGTTTGGAGCCTCAGGGAATGTCAAAAAGTGCTTTCTAAGAAGCATAGTTGAGTTGGCTTAGTTGGACAAGGCGAGGTGGTCACTGTTAGTCATCGGAAATGCCAACTTGCAACAAAAGGATTGGACATTGTGAGCTTGATTTACGACTGACTAAGAGTAGAAACCCAAAGGTGAGAGCGGAAGGCTGCAATGAAGCACCATACTGCCGAATGAAGCGCGAGGAACGCTATAGTCACTGGAGAGCACAGACTGCATGGTGAAAAATTATTTGTGTTTGCAATGCCACGGTTTGGCTTGTTGTCTATTCTTCAGACCAGTAGATTCGATATGAAACTGAACGATTCGGAAACAATGTTGCATATCAAATGCCAACGTCTAAATAGTTTCACGTCTAACACGCAAAAGTTCTGGAATACAGTACAACTTGAAGGTAACACTCTCAATACCGGGTACGGCAAACTAGCCACACCCAACCGCAAAAGCCTGGTAAATGGCGGTAACTTGAGATATGGTCCTGAACGGGTTCCAGCAAATGGGTTCTAGGATGCTAAACACATTCTTGCCTATTGGTGCAAGCTGGAACCTTGTTACAACCCGTTTCAGGTCCTCAGTTCGGTTGTACATTGGGATAATATATATATATATATGTATATATAAGGAAAACATATTTTTATATGTATCCAGTAACCCCCCCATGGGGGAGGCTTGCAACCGCATGTATAGCAACGCATTCGGCCAATGCTGACAACTCGTCTCTCGACTCCAAAATTCAAGGCGCATGGTGGTGACGCCCACACAGCGCGCTCGGTACCGGAGCGGGAACATCTCGGCGCCTAAGGAAAGCGAAACCCAATCATGGCCATTTCATTCATAGAACCTATCGTTTGGACCCAAACACGCCTCCCAAAAAATGGTCTGTGTTTTCTCAAGGGGGTGTGTTTGGGCAGGGGGTGGGGTAAACATCGGCTTCAGTGCAATGCCGAACTTGCTCTTGCTTCCAAACTCCGTTGAACATAAATCAGCTTCCCCTCAGATGGCCAAACATGCCTTGGCGCTAGCTTGTGGGAGCTAGTAATAGATGATCTTCCCAGCATCATCTGAGTTGATTGGCACGGTTTACGAATGCAGTGTTTTCATTGCCA